GGAGACTTTTATCTCTAATAAACCATCAAAAAGCCAAAAGCGGCCAGGCGCCCGTGGCTCATGCTGTAATCCTAGCACTCAGGAGGCTGAGATTCATGGATCACAGTTCAAAGCCAGCCCAGGCAGGAAAGTCTGTGAGACTCTTATCTCCAATAAACCACCAGAAAACCAGAAGTGGCACTGTGGCTCAAGTGATAGAGCACTCACCTTGAGCTGAAGAGCTGAGGGACAGCGCCCAGGCCCAGAGTTCAAACCCCACGACCACCACCAACAACAACAAAGATAGATTTGGAGCCTGTGGCCTTTCAGGTCCTTGGAGACTTCACTGTGGGTGGTCCCATGAACCCAGGATTTTTTTTTGAGGAGGGCGGGGAGGATGTATTTGTGGCAATGGTGCAGCAGAAAGAGAGGTCTAGGGTATTAGCCATGGGCTTCATTGTATGTTTTCTTTTTCAATTTCAAGCAAGATTTTAAAAATACAATGGGTGAACTTGATTTGACTGACATTCATTTCAATATGTAAGACTCTGAGTGCATCCTGTCGCTGCTTTTTCATGCTAAGTTTTTGGGACCTGTGAGTGCGCACACTCGTAGTTGGTCGTGAGGCCAGCGTTGAAGGTGCAGGAGCAGAGTGGGTGTTAAGGGACCTCCAGGCTCTTCCTCACCAAGACCGTCAAGCCATGGCCTGGCTGCTCTGTTAGCCACAACCTCAGCCCCAACCTTGTCCCTGGGCTTGCGGATAAAGGGGAGGCGTAGAGAGCAGGTAAAGGCGATGAGGTAACGTGGGACGTGTGGGACTCATGTGATCCCAGCTCCTACAAAGCCCAGGGGTGGGCTGCCACAGCTGATGAGCACCTACCCAGCCCGGCTCTGCAGGGTCAGAGAGCAGAGCACGAGCAGCCTCAGACCTGGGAGTAACTGCAAGTACACGTACCTGTGCAGTAGACAGAGGCCAGCTTAAGGGAGTCTAATCTATTCTTTTCCCTTTCAGAATTTCAGCTGATCCTCACTATTGTGGGTACCATTGCTGCCTTCCTCATCCTTGCCTTGGTGATTGCCCTCATTGTCTCTGTAAGGTAAGAGGATGGAGGTACCACCCCCACACCGGGCACTGGTTTCCAACTGGTTTCCTCTTGTGGACAGGGGAGGGGAATCAAGGGGGAAAATCTCCACCACCACTGACTCATCTGTCTTTGTCAACCTTCGTTTTCCTCTGAGTATATAAGTATATGTGATCCTGGAAGTAGAACAGACTTTAAAAAATCACCATAAGGGGCTGGGAAGGTGGCTCAGTGGTAGAGTGCTTGCCTTGCAAGCCTGAGGCCCTGGGTTCGATTCCTCAGCACCACATAAGCAAAAAGAAAAAAGACGGAAGTGGTGCTGTGGCTCAAGTGGTAGAACGCTAGCCTTGAGCTGAAGAGCTGAGGGACAGCGCCCAGGCCCAGAGTTCAGGCCCCACAACCGGACCCAAAAAAAAAAAATTAAAAATAAATAAAAATAAAAAATCACCATAAAATGGTGCTAATGGCTCTCACCTGTAATCCTAGCTACTCAGGTGGCTGAGATTTGAAGTTTGTGCTTTGAAGCCAGCTCCAGCTGGGAAAGCCTGTGAGACTCTTATCTCCAATTAACCACCCAAAAGCCGGAAGTGGGGGTATGGCTCAAGTAGTACAGTGCTAGCCTTGAGAGAAAAAAACAAAGAACAAAAAATGGAAGGACAGCACCGAGGCCCACAGTTCAAGCCTCAGTACTGGCACACCGCCCTCCACCACCCCAAAAAAAGAGTGTTTAAAGAAAAATTAGCATTTATGTCAAGGAGTCTTCTGCCATTGTCAGATCCTAATTCTTGTCATTGCTTTCAGATCAAAGAACAAAGGCAAAAACATAGAAGAACAGCACTTGATTGACAACGACTTTCAGAACCTGCGCCTGCAGCAGACCGGCTTCAGCAATGCTGGAGCAGAAGGGAACATATTCCCCCAAGTCAGAACCTCGGCCTCCAGAAACACTCCTGAACAGAACCCATACATCAGCCAGAAGAGTATCCCGCGCCCCGACTACTAGGTGAGCCCTTCTGTTTGGCTTTGCAAATTGAAATTCTTAGGACAGCAATGGTACACACACACACACACACACACACACACACACACACTCACACACACAAAGTATGTCTTCATCTACCCATCGCTACCCCATGGGATTTTTGTTGGTACTAGAGTTTGAACTCAGGCCTCCATACTCAATACTCAATTGAAAATGTAAAACCAAAAACAAAAAAAAAACAAAACAAAACAAAAATTCTCCCATAAGGAAGAATAGGGAGAAAGCTGAAGAAAACAAAAATAATGTTCAGAGCTTACAGATTTAAATTATCTCATATATGTCTGTTAGGACTGATTTTCCAGGAGACTTATCTCTGTTAATCTCTCTGTCTAGAATGGAAAAAAAAATGTGGACGCCTCCATCTCTCTAGCCATATACACCATGAGTTTGAGATGCAGATCGGTGAGCAGCATGAAGCTCTGGCCTCTGGTATTTCCTTCTGGCCAGCACCGTGGGTCCCTCTAAATGCTGACAAGGATCACAGCTTGTTAAAGAAGTACCTGTGAAATTAAATATGCATATGTGCTACCAGCACTTGTAACATAATTGATTTTCTCCAATCTGTACCCAGCACTAAGACAGCAGTTGGGTTTTGTTCTTTTCTTGATCGCGACACAAGCATTTCCAGTGTGGAGGACACTCCCAGCATTCTCCGAGCCTGGGAGATGGCTGCTCTCTTGAATAGCAACTACAGAGGTGGATAGATGACCTGATCCTCCTGGGAGCCTGGTACACCAGCCCTGCAATGGAGGGAACGAAGGCATGATGTTTCTTAGGGTACAGTGGACAGGTTAGAACATGGATGCCACCACTCTTCTCCTTCCCAGTAGGGATTTAGCCATCCTTGAACTGCCAGGAGTATTTGTGATAGGGCTTCACTTCAAGAATGGGAAAGAGGTATTCAACCTTTTCAAGAGTTATACTGGGAATGTAAAAACTTTTGGATGTTAATGAGAAGGCTCAGATTAGAAATATTTTCAGAATGTGATATGGAGTTTGTGAAAAGCTAATGGGTATGAGAGGCAGAGGGTGAACAGCCTGATCTGGGCTAGCAGGGACTGATGTGGTGGGAAGATGAATAAGAGTAGGCACCAGGTTCCAGCTGGGAGCAGATGGGCTCACCCTAGTGCTGTTCTGCCCAGACAGAGAGCCTGGGAACTAGATAAAAGCCGGAAGCCACCAGTGATCAGTGTGAGCCCCTTGACATGACAACCTTTCTGTGTGGCTCAGGGTCAGAGATGTGTCCACAAATCCAGATGCAAAGCCTCATGGTACAGGTTCCAGACAGACTTCATTTAGGACCCATTCTGCTCTGGTGACAGAGGCTGGCTGTAACCACCAACACCACACACACACACACACACACACACACACACACACAAAATACATACTGATGGGGCAACCACATACTGCATGTTCTTTTTTTTAATGTTAATAGTGTCATATATATACATATATATATATATATATGATAGCTGATGCTCTTGTAAGGTATTTTTATTTGCTATTATTATTTGTTCTTAACTGTCAATTGTAGAAGGAAATGCAATAAAGTATCTTTGGTAGGGGATGTTCTTCGTTGTGTTGAGGGCTTTGGTAAGCCATACAGTCAGTTTTATTTTAAATAGCAAATGAGATGCATGCCACACTGGAGTGATTGACATCGACTGTCCTCACTAGGGAAAACACCCAGAATAATATTCTAATATGTTGTAGATATACCCACTCCTACTCTATGATGAAGCAGCCAAACAGTTCCAGCTAGGTTGAGTCCACTCCCAGCCCCAGGGCAGACCCTGGTGAGCTCAAGCTAATCAGTGGATTTCTGTCCATGTTTTCCACAGAGTGAATACCTGGAATAAGTGGATACGACTAGAGGAGGCCTCAACTTTGTTAGGAAATTTGGAGGATTAGAGACTCTTCTGGAGAGCAGAAATGGGGACTGGAAGCTTTGGACTGCTTCAGTTCTGCTGAGCACATAACTGACTTCCCAGATGTGTGCCCAGAAAAAGAAGTGAGACTCTACCTTAAAAATACTAGTAAAATCAGGATTCAGCCTAAAAGCACCTAGCAATGTGAGGTTCTGAGTTCAAACCTGGGGTAGAAGTAGGAAGAAGGTCATAAGACTCCATGTCAACCAATAAAAAAAAAATCTGGGCACAGTGATGTGTGCCTGTCATCCCAGCTCTAAAAAGCATTAAATAGGAGGATCACTATCCAGGCTGGATGGGGCAAAAAGCAAAACTCTATTTGAAAGCTGATAAAAGCAAAAAGGGCTGGAGGTGTAGCTGAAGTGGTAGACCACCTGTCTAACAAGCATAATACTCTGAGTTCAAACCCCAAACCTCCCAATAAAAAAAGGACCTACTTCATAATTATGAGAATGAAACTTGTGAGGCACAGGTGTCATACCTGGCTTTCAGTGAGCGTCCTCCATGAGCTGATGAATACATACCACAGAAAAGGGCTGAGCTGAGAGAACTACAAAGAAATGGAACCCAGCCTTGGTCAAACAATACCCGATGCCTCTGAATCTCCTTTGCTGTTAGGCCAGTTTGAGTATCTGCCTGTTATTTGTTGCTGAAAGCATTGTCGCTGATACTACATGTGTTTACTCTTGTGTTCTCAAGGGCAAGTGGAATAAAATTGGGATAAAAGTGGAACAGAACACGCTTTTTGGAGCTACTAATGGCCAAAGTTGTTAATGCAGATATAACTTTATGATGGATTTGTGTATGTGGGGAGGAGATGCTGGGATTAAACCCAGGGCAATCGCATATGCTGGACAACTGCTCTACCACTGAGCTACACCCTTGGCCACAGACATAACTAAATTGGCAGACCTCTCTAACTTGCTTCACAGACTATTTCCTTTCTGTTTGGAGGTGGGTTAGGATTTAGGCCCAGCAGTAGGCTGGGAGGCCTTTTCCTACAGAGCTCCCCCTGCTGCCCCTCTGTCCACAGCATGCCTGTCGCTTCTCAAAGACCCAGTGCCATACAAGGCCTGGGCTTCCTGAACCACTCTTCAGAGGCACTCACTGCTGTTGTCTGAATAAAAAAATGTTCAAGACACACGTACATGTAGAATGTTTGTGGGAGTGGCTTCTATGTTCACAGTTACTTTTGATTCTTACGTGACATGGCCTTACCCTCATCATGCATGTCTTCCCCCTTGCTGCTTTTGCAAAGGTTTTCTAACCTTGTTTGGCAACCTTGGGGGGTGGGCAGAGTGAACTTTCTGAGGAGATCAGATCCTGACACTCCCCTGCAGCGGCTCAAAGAGAGCAGAGCTCTCAGCACAGGCTGGACTCCAGCGGCCCCTCTCTCTCTCTCTCTTCCTCTCTCTTTCTCCCCTCTCTCCCCTCTCTCTTTCTCTTTCCTCTCTCCTCTCTCTCTCTCTCTCTCTCACACACACACAGAGATTACTCAGAACACCCTGCCCACACCTGCTGTTCCTCCAACACACCTCCACCTCCAACCTGAGATGTTCTTTTATCCTAATGCCCCTTCCCTTCAAATGCCTAACGTATCAGTCTGTTTCGATGGCTGTAATAGATGACTGAGATTGACTGAGATTGCAAACAACAACAAAAACAAAACAATTTCTCAGCTGTGGAGACTGGAAGGTTTGGCTGGCAGATTCAGTGTTTGCTGGAGGCCTGTTTCCCTACTGCATGACTTTCTTCTCCCGGTGACCTCACAGGTAGGGGAAAGGTCTCTCTGGGGTCCCTTTCATACAGGGACTAATCCAATTCATAAGGGCTCCATCCTTATGACCTGATTAATCACCTCCCAAAGGTCCTCCTTTTTTTTTTTTTGTCAGTCATGGGGTCTGAACTCTGGCCTGGGCGCTGTCCCTCGGCTCTTCAGCTCAAGGCTAGCACTCTACCACTTGAGCCATAGCGCCATTTCCTGCTTTTTCTGCTTATGTGGTGCTGAGGAATTGAACCCAGGGCCTCATGCATGCAAGGCAAGCGCTCTACCACTGACCCACCTTCCCAGCCCCAGGTCCTCCTTCTTTTTGGGGTTGGGTTTCACTATAGAGCCCAGGTTGGCCTTGAATTCACAGGTGGGTCTCAGACTAGTAATTCTATCTCTTCCTCCAGATACCGGGATTTTAGGTGTGTGCCACCGCAACTATCAGTGGCAGACAGGCCATCTTTTCTAATACCATCAAATTGGACAGTCAGCTTTAACACACAAATTGAGGAGCTATAATTTGCATCTTGAAGGTCCCATGTGTCTATTGAAGGTTTGATTGCCAGCTAGGGATGGTACTGGGGAGATGCTTGACTCTTCAGGAGGTGGGACCTGGTAGAAGGAAGTGAGGTCACTGGGGGCGGGCTCTTGAAGGGGATACTAGGACCTCAGCCCCTCCGCTCCTCTCCTCTTTGCATCCTGGCTGCCACAAGATGCTGCCATGATTTACTGTGCCTCTACAGGTCCAGCACAGGAGTGCTGGACGCAATCATGGACCGAAACTTCCAAAACTGTGAGTGAGAATAAAGTTTTCTTCCTTTTAAGTTGATTTATCTCCAGTTTTGTTTTGGTAATACAGGTGGAGACCCAAACATTTAGACCACAGCACCTAATCAATACCTCCACCTGACTAACCAGCAAGCCATGCTCTCCTCTGGCCAGCTCTCTCCCACCCTCCCTGTCTCTCAAATACAAGTATTGCCTCGCTCATGTCCCAGCTGGGCCTGTAACCAGATCTCCAGGGAAGAGAGTGTGCACTAGTGACTCTGTGTCCTTGTCACCAGCACCATGTCTGCAGTCAAATGAGCATTCAGGAACCGTACTATATTCTGGGCACACCTGTCTGTAACCCTAGTTACTCAGGAGACTGAGATCTGAGGAGCAAGGTTCAAAGCCAGTCTCAGCAGAAAAGTTCATAAGACTCTTATCTCCAATTAGCCAGCAAAAGTCCACGAGTTGGGCTGTGGCTCAAGTAGTAAAGCACTAGTCCTGAGGGAAGAAACTAAAGGAGAGGACCCAGGCCCGGGCTCCTGAGTACTAGCACGCACACAGAAAGAAACAGGATACAAGAGTAGAAGACTAGACTCCTTCCTCCAACTCAGACTTGAATGCTGTATACATGACCCTGACCGTTAGGGTTGTTTCTCAGGCACATATGTGGCAACATTTGCCAGGTTGTCTACTTTAAACGTGTGGCATATTGCATGTCAGTGCAACCGCAACAAAGCTGTGCTTTTGCAATGGGGAATGGAGGGCATGTCGGAGCCTCTCTGGTCTTGAGACAGGCATCCAGGACTGTCCTCAATCCTGACAGGCAGGACTGAGAGAGGGCAGGCACAGGTCATTCTGCTGGAGCTCTGGCACCAGACTGAGGGCTTTCTGTGCTCAGCTGGGGTTGCGTCTCAGTAGCACATTAGGAACACCAGAAGGTGCTTCACTATTGCCTGGCCCTGTGTCCCAGGTGCTTTGTGGTACAGACCCAGGCACAGGGCACTTAAGTACCCAGGAAGTCTAGTATGCAGTGGACTTTAGAACCACTGTTTAATAATACCTCATTTCTTTTCTTCCAATGATCAAACCTAGGTCTTTGTACCTTCAGGCAAGCACTGTACTACTGAGCTACAAACCCAGCCC